GAAATCATTTCCAGCGGCCTGCACAAGCTGGCAGCAGTGAACACTCCGTTCTGCAGAAATAATTATTTTTTTTCTGAGAAATATTTTATTTCCTGAGAAATATATTTCTTTCGGAGAAATAATTTTTTTTCAGAGACATATTTTTTTCTCTCGAGATTTTTTTTTTTTTGTCAGGAGCGGTGAAAATATTTCTACGGCGAATTTTTTTTCTGAGATAAAAAAAATATATCTCCAAAGTAAAAAAAAAAATTCGAAGTAGCAGGAATATTTCTACGGGTGAAAAATAATTTCTACATATATTTTTTTTTCTTGAGAAATATTTTTTTTTCTTTCGATAAATATATTTTTATTTCTCAGGGTTACGGAAATGACGCCATAGAATATTTCTACGGGTGAAAAATAATTTCTACATATATTTTTTTTTCTTGAGAAATATTTTTTTTTCTTTCGATAAATATATTTTTATTTCTCAGGGTTACGGAAATGACGCCATAAATTTGGTTAAAGATCATTTAATTTACTGACAGATATCATTTGGAGGTAATACAGAAATATTCAAAACATTTCGGTGAAAATATTGGGCCTAAAACGCGTCGTTGCCGAATTGATCCCCTATTTAGCGTTCTTGGCGTTCAGCCGACGTTCGAACGATAAATCACACTTTAAAACGGAGAATAACATTTGTTCAATTATGTCATAGGTAAAACATTTTTTCTGCAAGATGCACTTAAAAAAATTGACGAGTTATCCGTGCATTGCCTGTGAAAATCATCTATCTTAAAAACCGACGATCTCAGCGAACATCCCCTTAAGCCAAGTCTCACTAAAACGAAAGAAAATGTGCTACGATGTAGAAATTTGACCTAATGACACTTCAGGGCTTTAAATTACACCTCCAGCGGTAGAACTCGGATATTTTCCACCGTTGCAAGTTACAGCGAAATTCCGATTTTTTTGGGTCCCTCCCAGTACTCAGAAACTATACACTGAGAAAAATTCGTGGTAATAAAAACAATTTATTGGTCGTCACTACCGACAATAAAGGCTCATATTGAACACCGTTAATATTGGTCTCTGGAGCATGTATTAATTAATAATGGTTTCTATATCACAGTAAGGGCTCATGTACTCTTAGTCTCGCAATCACTAATATCGGTTGATACCCGCTACAAATGGTTCCTTAACCATTTCCTGTGATAGGCAATACCAATAAGTGGTCGTGAGTACAGTTAATTTCGACCTCCATCAATTCGTGGTAAATCGTGCCACAGTTTTTTCTCAGTGTAGAGTCATGCCAATACAATTTTTCAAATCCGCGTTCATTAGTCTTTAAAACTTTGTTGAATCCTTATGGATCCACGTTACAATGACAGCAGGTCGATATGGAACGTTGAAGGGGAAAAAAACTGTTTGCCACAAATAAAACATTCTCATATCATATGATGATTCAAAATGTCGGTATAACTGAAAGAGTACCATCGGTCCAGACACAAGAGACCCTCCACTGGTATCTTGGTTGTGAAAGCGTATACTTTCGAGACTTCAGCATTCAACTGGTGACCTACCTTCTTGGTCGACGGTTAACAAAGTGTTGGGAGTTTCGTTTTGCAAACATACCAAACCGAAATTTGGGAAACTTGTTTGACTCATGACGTCACCTGAAGCTCATCTTTCACCAAGTAGGTAAGATGATTGCTGCTCCCTTATAATTGTCCATAAGGAAATGTTGAGTCCCCGAAAGTAAAAGCTCCCACCTGTCGCGAAGAGGCCAGTGGAGGGTCGCCTGTCTATGTGTCGTTCCCTCAGTTATTTATTTTGTTCATTTTCTTAAAGTTAAATATTCCTGTGGAAATCCTCATAATACTTCATAATTTTTTTTTTTTTTTTTTTTTTTTTTTTTTTTTTTTTTTTTTTTTGCAACATAATAACTGACTGAACTGCTTCAATTTACCATTATTTTAGTATGCCATACATGGAATCTATTGTTTTGGAAATGCTACGATTGGCAATGGGTCGCACAATTAATATTCCTCACAGAGCGCTAAGAGACGGTACAATTCAAGGCTACCACGTACCTAAGGTAAGTTTCTTTACATCCGTCGACTAAAATTTCAAGAAAAAAAAAAAGGTTCGAAGGTTTTTTTTCCTTTAGTGTCGCCGAAAAAATTACTATATGAAAGCAAAATTATGACCGTATTCCAATATCTATAATAATTTTCTCAAAACTGATTGAATTTTGGTTTTCTCATAGACGGACTTTGCAAAAATCTATAAATTCTTATCTACACTGAAAACAAATTCTCGGCGTTTTTACGAGGGTCCGCGTTGGTACCTTTACCATCTCACTTTTTTTTACCAATTATTGGTAATTTTACCAAGACAGACTGGTAAGCTCACCTAAAAACCGATATTATTACTGTTTTTTTTAGGTAAGAATACCACTTTTATTGGTAATCAATTCCCGGTAACTTTGCCATTTTATCTCGGTGATTCTACCGCAGTCGATAAAAATATTGGCGTTTTTACCAAGGTCCAGACTACCGAGGTTTTACCGAGATTTCTCGGTAAAATTACCAATTCCATAAATGGTAATTTTACCAAGAAAAAACTGGGATCAAATAGAACCGTAAATTCTTGGTAATTTTACCCTTTTCTTAGTAAATACACCGAGATTTTTTTTTTCAATGTAAATTAGAAAAAATTAGAATACCATTAAAGCGAATTTATTTAATCCGCGAAGTCTCAAAGATTATATTTATCCGTTAGGTTCAAAATGGCAAGAATATTATGTACTAAGAACAAAAGGTGGTATATGACGAGACTCGCCGGTCACAAAAGCCGAGTTCTATCGAGGGCCAAAACAATCGATCCCATGGGCCACAAATTCTTCTCAGATTGAACGGGAAGTTAATTGACCATCTCATTTTTTTGCACTCCTTTATCTATTCAGGTATTTCAATTTTCAAAGATTTTTCCCCCTTTTTTTGGAAAAATTATTTTTGAGATAAAGAAAACATGTTGTTCGTTTTAAGAAACTGGTCATAATGTTGCCAAAAGATCCCTATTTCTGTACCGGAAAAGGGATATTGAACTGGAAGTTAGACACGTTATATTCATATAACAGGCTCTCTTTCAATTTATTAAGGTGAAAAGTAGGACAACTAACACGTGAGGTCACTTGGACGTCGATTGATTTTTTGATGAGCCGGATACAAAAATCAAAGAGCGTGAGAGAGTCACTAACTTTTAAAACTTCTTGATGCATCTATTGCTTTTCTAACGCAATGCCAATGACAAGTCTCATTCAATTCAGGCGAGGGGGCGGGTCCAGATTTTCGGATCACCCTGTATAATCAGGATTCTATATAGTTACCACCAACTTTCTCTTTTAGTCTTGTGGAGCCGGCGCTTAAAATTTTTCAGAATGAACTCACAGGCCAGAAAATATCCATTGATTCTAAAAGTAACGAAAATTATTTTTTATTACTTTAATTATTACTCTATCAACAATTTTTCCCGCAAAGCGTCCATTGATCTATTTCCATTGATATTTCACCCTAAAATTCTTCTCACACTTAAGAATTCGTGTGCTTTGACGTTACTTATCAGCTGCCTTGTTCATTTCTATTCCAGAACACTATATTACTTGTAAACTTCCATCACCTGCTTATGAGCTCTACATATTGGGATGAACCGGAGCTTTTTAAACCAGAGCGTTTTATAAATGCAGATAATAAAGTGACCATACCAGACATCTTCAAACCCTTTGGATTTGGTTTGTACAAAGTCTCTTATGTTTGTGTAGTAAAATCCTTTTGTGAGTGGTTGAATGGCATTTACATTTGGTCAATATGTTTTTTTTTTTTTCTAAATTTCTTCCTGAATAATGACGACAGTCATTCCAAATTGGATCTATCTTCAGCTTAGTAAAAAACATATGTTCGTAAGCTCAAGCAAATGCGTCGAGTGAAGTAATATAAAAGTAACAATACACTCAAGAAAAAAAAAGAATCGTCGAAGTAGCACTAAACGCCATGATGAAATGGCATGACAGAAATTATGCTGATATAAACTGCATTCCCTGGTAACAATTGGCGATAGGAACTGCGTTTCAAAATACCATAGGAGTTCTTATGGCCGACTAAAAAAGGCTATTGAAAATCATATAGCTGGCTGTAGAAAGCGAAGCAAATCGGGCTATACGAAGCTATAAAAAAGTATACAGTCGGGCTATAGTTCCTATCGCCGGGCTTTACACTTTATCGCCATTGGCTATAAAAGGCTACAAGAAATTGTGTAGAAATTCGTGTGCTTCGGAAATCATTAAGTTTGATACGGAACTACCTTAATATTTACAAAACACACATTATAGTTTCCTTTAAAACATATTTTTTTTTCGTCAATTAAAATGAGAATAGTCCATACAGAGTGTGCAAACATTTCAAAATCATGAGTTGAAAAACGCTGACTCCGCGAGATTAAATATTAGAGCCTAACACAAAGTGGAGCGGCGGCGCACTGGCGCCTAAAAACCTAACAGGGATACTTTACGCATTGCGCAATGCGTGAAGTATCCCTGTTAGGTTTGTAGGCGCCAATGCGCGTTTCGCGCTCTCTGCCCGCCCGCCGCGCCGCGCCGCAGCGTGCCACGGCGTCTGAAGCAACTATTTCACACCAGAGGTATTGCACAGTATCATAAGAAATTGAAGGCGCTCCAGCATATTAAGAATGGCAGGCATCCTTCAAAAGTACGGAGCTTCCCTCGCAAAATAAATCAAGATACTACGGCACAAAAAGAGAGCGGTAGTCCAAAAACTAACTAAGTCCTAGTATCCGTATTTAGTGACGTTTAGCATAAACTTTATCGTCTGGCTGTTGCTTAGTCGCCATCGGCTATAAAAGGCTATAAGAAATTGTACAGCCGGCTACAGAAGCTATTGGAAATCTTTCAGCCGGTTTTAGGTCTATGGTATTTTGGAACACAGATTCTACTGCCAATTTTTACCAGGGTTCCCCGTAACCCAACATGGTTTGACTTGATTCTACATTTGCCGTCATATTGAATCAACATGACCGAGAATGCTACTACCTGTCATGTTCAATCAACATGACGGTAGTATTCCAGTAACATTACTCATGTTACCACTCTTCCCCTCAGTCTTGTATAGAGTCCCTTTATACCCAGAGTTACGACAACTCACTTTTGGTTGGGCCAGGATTGGGCTGAAAGTGGCCTAAAAAAAAATCCAATTCTGATTGGTTCTCGCTCATGGAGGCCGAAACTAGTGCACCAAGATGGCGGTACCTCGTATGTGAACAAGAATAATGAAAATATTACCTAATTGTGGTTTATCAAGAGTAAATTGTTATTTCCATCGGTCCCAAATGAAAATAGATTAAGAAATTATTCACAAACCAATCTCATTTTCTTTGTAATTGATCACTTTGTTGATGTTGTTGTTTCTGTGTGACAGACATCGCAGGATTCCTGATCCTTATCCCCCAATATCGTTCGTTTGAGTGCACTAGTTTCGGCCTCCATGGCCAGCCAAGGTCGGCTGCCAGTCAGCTGATAATCGAGTTGTCGTTACTCTGGGTATAAAGGGACTCTAGTCTTGTATTGATACTAATCACAGCTCGAAATTAGACTCTACTTGAAATTGTTGAACTCTCTGGCCCTGCTTTTCCAGCAAACAAAATGTGGACCCAGCACGATTTTACTACCTTGTTACATACAGTCAACGTCAACTTATCATTGTGATTTGATAAATACCCATATGCTGATAACTATCAAAGCGCACGCTTTGTATGAGGTGAGAACCAGTTGTGGTTTGTAAGTTTGTATTTAACTATGATAAATTGTTGTTGCAGGTAAACGTAAATGTATCGGAGAGTCCCTAGGTCAAGGCACTTTATTTCTCTTCATGGCAACCGTGTTACAGAATTTTACTTTGAGTTGTGTCCCAGGCGAAGACTTACCTAGCAAGTTAGGGGTCGATGGAATATCGCCCTCTACAGGAGCTTTCAGTGCCCTCGTTTCTGTAAGGGATTGAAGCAACTTGTTCCCCTTGATTAAGTATACTGCTTGCGGGCACATTTTTTTCTTCAAACACAGAACATGAATCGAAAATAACGGAAAGGTTGCGAATAAACTTTGTAGTTTATACAGTAAGTAGTAGTTTATAAAGTAAGATTTCAATTACTAGGAGCGGTAGCGACCCCGTCAAGGCTATAGAGATCTCCAACAAACAACAATACATTCCACTCTCATACATCAATGAACTTTATTTAATTTTTCGCTAATTCTTCCCCTTCATTTAAGGTATAGCCGCAACTCTTAATACCTACAATAACTATGTAAGGAACCATTGTATAATACTTACGAGACCTCCCTCGTTAAGATCAAGAATAGAATAAATATTTTCAATTCAGATTCTAGCACACTCTTTGAAAATTAAAAAAAAGTCAGGTTGATGAAGGTAGAATTTTTAAAGAGAGCATAAAAAAATAGCTAAAAATCAACAATTCTGGCGAGACGGTCCCGATACGTATCATTCGAGTGTCAGCTGCAGCCCATCTTCTTTTAGGCACTAAGGTATATCCTCAAGCATTGCAAGCAAAACGATAAAGGAAGGATTACACGAATGCTCGAAAAAGCTCCTCTTAAATTCCTGCTAGCACTTCAAGCCTATGAAAATCGTTTCGTGGCAGATCCCAAGGACTTATTCAGAAATGCATTCGTTCACTTAAAACGAAGGAGTTGGCTGTCGAATGTATGATTTTTCCGCCTGGCGCTCACAGTAATTAGCCGTCTCTGAATTTAGAAGGACCCAGGTGACATGAAAATGGCGAGTGGCGAAAAGGAAGAAAGAAAAATTGACTCGAACTGGTAAAAAGATGCATTTCCATTTTTCGGCAATTTGCCCTTATTATTGGCACTACCCTTTCAGCCATACCGCACCCATAAGAGTATCGGGGCCGTCTCGCCAGAATTGTTGATTTTTTTAGCTATTTTTTTATGCTCTTTTTAAAAATTCTGCGTTCATCTACCTGACTTTTTTTTTAATTTTCAAACAGTGTGCCGGAATCTGAATTGAAAATATTTATTCTATTCTCGATCTAAACGAGGGAGGTCTTGTAAGTATTATACAGTGGTTCCTTACATAGCTATTGTAGGTATTAAGAGTTGCGGCTACCTGAAATGAAGGGGAAGAATTAGCGAAAAATTAAATAAAGTTCATTGATGTATGAGAGTGGAATTTGTTTCCTAAAATGCAAAACGAAAATGAGAGTGAGATGAGGAGATGTTGAAAAATCTTGACTTCAAAAGATATCAAATATTTTGAGGTTTGAGACTGAAAAAAGAACTGCCTGTTTTATCTCTCGCCATCTTCTCGTAGGAAACAAATCGAATTATCTTTCCTTGTATTGGTGACCCAGGCACCTAAACCAGCTTCGAAGGTAAGCTGGTTGCGTCCTAAACTAACTGAAGGGGACTCTCAGCAGAATTAACTGTCCATTTGCTCGTTGTAGTTCTGGGGCGTACCTTTACTTAAAAAATCTTGACCTCAAATGATATCAGACATTTTGAGGTTTGAAATGGAAAACAGAGTTTGAGCTACTTTTCTTTCTCTTTTTGTAATTTTCAAGAGATTACTATCCCCCCCCTCTCCTTTTTTTTTTTTTTTTTTTTTTTTTTTAGATATATACCTACTAATTTTGTGATAAGATATTATAGGCTTGGCGGAATTTTTACCCTTTTTGAAGTTTTTTTAATGATTTCAAGTAAAACTAGTTTCAATGTATATTCTGTGAACAATTCGCTCCCAAACTCTAATTTTTAAGCATCAAAATGTCAGTTTGAACTTCCTTTTCGCCATCCATGTAATATCGAAACTTCAAACACGTATTTTTTGAAATAGCAAAAACTGTTCTTATGCGCCCTGTCCTTTGACCCCGGCCCCAACTCTTCTTTTTTCTCCAGCTGAATTTTGCATTAGGCCCATTGAAACGAGAAAACACGGGCAAATGCCTGTGGATTATGGTTTTGAATATTTTGTATCTTTACAATCTCAATCAATATGAGGAAACTATGCGTCACAGAGAAAAAAGTCTTGATACCTGTCTAATCATTTGAATAAAGTCATGATTAGGTAGTTTCCTCTTTTTTTTAGGACTTTTTTCTCAGGTTATGAAGTCACTGGAATTGAAGAAGTTTATTTCTCAACAGAATGGAGAATGGAAAATTTGCAGGTGTCTTGTTTGATGAATTTCGTGTTTAAGAGGAAACTACTGAGTGGACTGATCACGAGGATACCCTTGGTTCATGAATTGAATAATTATTGGGGAAGATATGACGAAATTATCTGATCTGCTAAAATACGTGTGTTTTAGTGGGAAATGCCGCCAGATGACATCACTAGGCGGTGTATTTTCTCTTTTTTAAATCTATTTTTATACTATTTCCAATATCTGAAAAAATCATAAGAAATCTGTGAAATCAGCTCTTTAAGCACTTTCAGATGAATCAATAAAAAAATTGCATGCAAATTCTCCATTGCAAGAATGTGCACCGAGAAAGCAGTTGTTGTGGTAGTCGTCAAATTTTGGTCGTTAATTAATCGATCGACTAGAATTGAGGATCTGGTTACACGTACTGGATTAATTTAATTTGTAATTTCCATTACAACAATAATAAAATCCAAAGATGAATATTCGAAACTTCGCTCAAAAATGCAAAAGTATTGAAAGGAAGTTTAGTAATGTCCTGATGCTCGTCGTGAGTTTTTTCGCTCCTTTGAGTTACAGAATGAGGTTAAAAAACTGTGCGCGATCAGAGACCTCATTTGTCATCATCGGTTTTTCGAAATGTGAACCGTTTTTATCTTTAATTCCAGTGGCGTGGCGTGCTTTGAGATATATCGATTGTTATGCCATTTAAACCTATGGAAAAGGATCGATAAACAGGTTGTTCGCAGGGAACACCTTATTAATCGATTCTTTACCATAGGTTTAAATGGCATAACAATCGATATATCGCAATTCACGCCACGCCACTGTTTAATTCGTCGCTCCTCTGACTGGAGGGCGTTTCTTTATTCTGACGTAGGCCTCGGAAAGCAAAGAGTTATGCGAAGCCTAGGGCTCACGTGGCTATTGAGATACGCTCTTTCGTCAAGCAGTGACAATTGGTTCAGAAGAGTTTATTTTAAAAATATTTCTCCATAACAATTCGTGTGCAGTGTCATTAAGTGTTTATTCACAGTCCAAATAGCATTGGTTTGCTTTCCATATACAATCTGGACCATCTGAATCAATAAGAGAACCGTTTAGTTATGGAACAGCCTGGGCGCCGACTCATGAGCCTTGGAACAAGCGATACGATCAGGAGCTTAGAGGTTCCTGTTGTTTAGGCCCTTTCTGACATTAACGGTGCACTTCCGGTATTCGGGTCATGAAATGCGGGTCGTTATTCGGTTAAATACGGGCTTATTTTGTTTAATTATTAATGTTACATATTGAATGATCTCGATTATTCTTCTCGATGACCGATTTTTCCCCCTTTAAATACTGCATCCTCACAATACTCATCATTAAGTCCAAAGTTCTTAACGTACATTCGCTTTTAGCCGGAAATTCAGTTCATTGCCATTAACCGAGATGCATCTTCCCTACGTTGCAGTATTTTTCGTCCCCATACTTTGTAGTATCGTAATGGTTACATCTGTAAGTATAACTCGTTTTAAATAATTGTATACTCACGGTGGAATGAATTAATTTTGTTTTTCACATCCTTGAGCATGGGACTATGAACTTAACTTAAGTGGATCGGGCGAATATTATTAATGAGTTATTATTATTATTAATGAGTTCTTATTGTATGAGTTCAGTCAGAGACACCCAAGAGTATCCTAGTAAAAATATGAATTGCGAATAGAAATATTGCAACAGTTTCTAGCCTGACAGAGTGCGGTCTGTGAGGTCCGGCGCTTGCTAAAGAGGTTGTTTCATCCCCCACTAGAACTGGCCCCCTTTCAATTATGATCCATCTTTTCAGAAGTGCATGAGAAGTGCAAGTTTCAGTAGAATGCGAGACGTTCAAATATGGCGGTCATTTTGACATATAGGCCCCCCCAGCGATGGGAGGGCGGGGGGTCAAAAGCAAAACCTTCACTTAGGTTAGGTCTATACCGCATTTTCGATGTTTCTCTACTAGAGTACCTATATAGGGAGTGTGCAGACATGTCGCAATACGGAACTGTTGGGGCCCAGAAGAACACCCAACCTTTGAAAACGAAAAATGTCACTGCCAATCGTCAGATTCCAATATCAAACCGAATTGCCCAAGAATGTTCATAAATAAAGTGTTCATCCGCAAAAATGAATAAATCTATGCCAAAACTAAGTCCTATACGTGTTTTACCAACGACGGATCGTTTCTTTTGTAATCATAAATCACTCTGGATAATTTGAATTCATAAACTGGCTGCTCTTTTGGGCCCTCGGAGCTCCATCACTCGCAACCTCAATAAAGTACCGTCATCCCTACCCAGAGACAAGAGACCCTCCACTGACCTCTCACCTCTCGGCGATGGATAGGAGCTTTTACTCTTGGGGATTCATCAATTCCTTTTAGACAATTATAAGGGAGCAACAGTCATCACCCTAATCTCGAGTGTTGACCTACCTACATGGTGGATGATGAGCTTCTGGTGGCGTCATGAGCCAAACAAATTCCCCAAACTTGGGCCATTTTCGACTTGTTTGCAAAACGAAACTGCCAACACGTTGTTGAACATCAACCAAGTAGGTCAATCGACAGGAGAATGCTCAAGTCCCGGAAGATACTCAGATACTAGTGGAGGGTCTCTTGTCTTTGCCCCTACCCTTCAGGTGCCTGGTACTCTATTCTCAACCAACTTGCGTACCAAATGAGTGATTTTCGGTTTGGTTCCCGCTTTCAGATGGACAATACTGAAAGAAAATTGAGACAAGAGCTCGTAAAGTATGCCAATAATGATATCTGCGAGTATATGAGATCTCCGGAAGACGGCGGCCCACTGCCACAATACAATGAAGACAAAGCGAGGAAGCTTTGCGGGAAAGCTTACAGTGCGTTTGGAGATTTGGTTCACCCGATGGCTACTAGAGAGTTCAAGGATACGTATATAAATGCGTGCCCAGGTCAAAGCGAACCGTACGAATGCAACCAGGCCGGGAAAGCGCGATTTCGATGCGCTTGGAAGTGTGACGGTGCGTTTAAACAACTCGTAGACATCCTCACGGCTGCCGGTATACAATAATGGAGAATTTGCACACACAAATTGTATTCCTTCATTTGAAAGTGCCTAATGAGCTGAGTTTGCATAGAGTCCCTTTATACTGAGAGTCAAGACAATGTGAATCCATTTCTGATTGGTTCCCGTATTTTAGGCCTTCACAGTGTCACAAACGGGAATAAAGATTACATTTTCACCGATTGCAAAGATTATAATCTGGAATGGACGAGGGAATTACGGGTTCGGCAAGGAACCAACGGAATGAGAGAAAGAACGGAGAAAGGAATTTAAGAATGGGCCGATCAAAGATTACAAAGAAATTTCGATTTCTGTAATCTTTATTCCCGTTTGTGACTCCATGAGGGGTGTTGTCTTGACTCTCAGCATAAAGGGACTCTAAGTTTGCATTATTTTTCCTAATTTTTTTCCGACATGGGAAATTTGAGGAAAATATATTTAAAAGCGAGACAATTTGCCGCCCTGTACCGTCATCTGGCGGCATTTCCCATTTAAACCCATGTATTTTAGCAGATGAAGTTTTTTTCATGCCGTCATGCAGCCAATTAAGCACTTTATTCTAATGGTCTGCACCAGTGGCGATTCTTGAAAGTTGGCAACACTGTTTTTACTCCATTTAAATCCATTGAAAACATCGATATTAGGCGAGGCAAGCTGCCTCATCAAGAATCGATTATTTTACATACATTTAAATGGAGGAAAAATGGTGTTGCCAACTTTCAAGAATCACCACTGATCTGCTCGTGGGCCAAGATGGTACAGTTTCTTTGACTCCATTATCTGAGGCTTCCTTCTGGCAATGAAGTATATTTTTAAAGTTGGGAACGAATTAAAATCGTTGGAAGCAAGGTCTAGACTGTGTAGAGGGTGTGGCAATGTCTCAAACTTCATGTACATCTCTCGCAACCAAGAAAGCAGCAGAGCAGAACACTAATATGCGCAACATTACATCGAGTTATAGGGGATGATTAAGTTGAAAATCAATTTATTATATTTGATGTGATTGCACCTAATTTTATTTTGGTTTTTAACGAAGTCATAAACCATTTTTTAAATATTATTAAGTTTATATTCCTATTAATTAAGCCCTCGTATATATACGTGTGAAATGTATTAGTATATTAATTAGACGTTTTGCAACATTCTGAATAGCTTGTGTTCTTTTTTTTCGTGATTTATTTTTCTTCAAGGGCCAGAATCGTGTGACCAAGAATTAAAATGGATCAACGTTCCAGACAATGCCACATTGTTGAAAAAGTAAAATGTCGTCGTGACTTTAGGATTCCGCTAACGCTTACAATGAGTAGATTCGATTGAAGAAATGAGGAGATCATAATTGAGGGACTTGGAGGACAAGGCGTATAAGTTCAGTTTTTGGAAGAATTGAGTTATCCATGCACTCAACCTAAACTAGTTTGGTATATCGAGTGAAAAATCCAACTTTAGAGCATCAATGAGTGAGTTTAAACTTCCTTCCTGCCATGTGGGACTGGGATGATAAGGCGCAATGTAATTTTGAAATCCTAAACATGTATTTCTTAAAATAGCAAAAACTGCTCCTAAGCGCCTTGTCTTCAAAGCTCCTCAAGTACAATAGTAGACCGTGGGACAGCAAGGGGCAAACCCCCCCCCCCCCCCCCCC